TGTGTCACCCAGGCTAGAGTGCAGTGGCATGATCATAGCTCACTGCAGCCTCGAACTCCTGAGCTTAAGCAATCCTCCCTCCTGCATCAGTCTCCAGAGTAGCTGGGACTACAGGTACACACCACCGTGTCTGGCTAATGTTTTGTACTTTTTGTAGAGACGGGTCTCGTTGTGTTGCCCAGGCTGGCCTCAAACTCCTTTTCTCAAGCAATCCTGCCACCTTGGCCTCCCAAAGCACTAGGATTATAGGCATGAGCCACTGTGCTCAGCCTCATCTTGTACTACTGTAATTATTGTTTGGTCAATTTGCCTTGTTTGATGATAAAAATATTATTCTTTCTCTGTATTCCAAACTTGCTAGGTACATGCCATACCTAAAATAACCTATATGTGATTCCCTCTCTTAACACATTTTCTTACTCAATAAGCTACCAGGAATGAGTAAACAAGTACTTCTCTGTGATGTATGATGTTTAGAGTAAGCATAACACTTGGCTGACCTGAAATAACCTGTATAGCCCTCTGAACAAGCATCCAGGATAGATGGCACACCACCAGGCGAGGACATTCAAGAACAGAAGAACTCACTGTATGTGAGCTACTGAGTACTCTTCATCTCTTAGCTAACGGTTATTGGCCAAATACTCTGTCTTTAAATACTAAATCCTCTACCATGTTTGTTGGACATTTTTCCTCTGTGTTGCAAGAGGAGCATTTATTAGGTGATTTACAAAGGGATTTTGGGAATTGCAAGAAAGGTCAAAGCAGCAGAGAGAACCATAGAACAACTCATTTGACACACCTTCATGGTTCAAACCTCTCAGACCACCAGGGCACGGAAAAACAACACGAGAGAGGCCTTGAAAGAAGAGGATTAGGTGGCCTGGCCTCTGTGTAAGGCCACAACCCTGGGTGTTTGTTCTCCCTGTGGATTATGATTTATAGAGATGCACTGGGGCATGGTCCCCGTGGCCTAATGGTCATCAGAGAAGCAGGACCAGTCCCCCAACACTCCTCCTGTCCTCACACAACTGGGAATATCTAGCATCGAAAAGTGCTGGAGGGCCTGCAGCAGGAACAGGGGGCGTAGGTGTGCAGGGGTTGGTGATGCAGGGGGCCTTGCAGTGCTCGCCCTTCAGCAGGCCCAGACCAGGCTAAGCTCCCCCTGCAGTATCCGGGACTCCCTGCAGCCCAGGATCTGGGCCAGCTGGGACTCCACGCTGGCCATCGTGCACTGCACCTGGGCCAGCTGGGCACTGTAGCAGCCTTGGTTTCGTGTTCTCCAGGGCCTCTCGGGTTGTGCTGGGCCTGGAACTTGACCTCTCGGTCTATGATCTCCACCTGGCAACTCATTCTGAGCTGAACACCACATGCTTGTTATACTATGTTTTAATACGCACCGTTTCATTTAATTTTCTCCTCAAATTCTTTGAGGAGGGCGCTATCTTAGTCCCACTAGTCAGATGAGGAAAGCAGAGGCAGGTTAAATAACCTCGATGTTGTCTGATTCTAAAAATCAAGCTCTTGACATTACCGAAAGTGGCTCAACCATGGGGGAGAACGATCACATGAAGATATGGCAGCTGGGGGTAGCGAGGTCCCCTCATGAGCTGGGGACTT